AAAAAAATTCAATTTTCCCGACTAACTACCAGGATAATCACATCATATAAGAACAGATAAGTAATCACTGAATTACACAGTACCTGAGGCCTCGTTGCTTAGTTCCATCTTTCCTCGCGATCAATGCGGTTCGTGCGGGTCACGTGGTTCGCCGCGCCTTTGGATCCGTGCGTATTCCCGCCATTCGTGAAACACTGAATTCGTCGTAAAGTTGACACACTTTTTCACTCTGTCGTTCCTTGGTAATAACGGAATATAAACGCACAGGCACAAACACACACAGAATCACCTCTTCATATGGGTTTCCATGGTATAGGTACTGGCGTGAAAATAGAAGTAACCGCTCCGGCTCGTCTCAGCCACGGTCCTCGTCTCAATAAGTCCGTCCCCCGGGGATTGAGATTCCAAGGAAATAAAGCTTTGGTGTGATGTCCCGGTTTATTAGAATTGCGTGGGCGCCATTTGTAGCCAGTGGTAAAACATCAGAACTAACAATCTGGTTCAGGTTCAATATTATATTTATTAATGTTGAAATAAACATGTCAAAAACCTGAAATATTACAATTACACACAACATATAGACGACACATAGACAGACATTTAGACAGATAATTAAAACATAATAGACTTTACTTTAGAAGAGACTCTTACCGGACACACACAGGAATTACAAATATTACTATCTGTTATTGACTATAGAGTAGAGTACACATCTAACCAATTCAACGGCTAGGCTCAGAGTGCCCGATGTTAGTGCGTGAAAGCGGGAATTTGGTGAATAGGATAAAGTCATGTGACTGTCCGTCTAGTGTCTAAAAATAACAACAACCTCATTCACACAAAGTCTTTCACACCACATTCTCACATATACGCAGCGCAAGTATAGTAATTAAAGGCATTAAATAATACATAACCCTGGTTACATATGCATAGATGCATGATACGTGTACATGTACTTTAAAGAATAGAAGATTAGAATTGATTTCGCTCTAGAACCAAACTGCACCAAAATTTATCTGATTCAAAATTTTATGATACATCAGTACATAAAAAGAAACTGACAAAAAATTGTGTTTGCATGGAAAAAAAATTAACGCCCATGCCAGACTCACCAAAAACTGTTCGCTTCGAGTGCACTGAACAGGTAACCCAACTTACTGAACTATCACCGCTACACATGTACAGAGGACATTAAAAGGACAAGAAGCACCACATTCACACATTTGGATTTTTTGGAGAAAAGTTCATTTTTCGTGGTCTCTGGTCTTTTCTATTTTTTAAAAAAGTGTATTCGTTTCTTTGGATTAAAACACACACAGATAACGTTTCAAAATCATGGAGAGAAGACCCAGAGATAGAAAAATTTTAGAAAAACGTGTTTAAAAATGCACCATTTTGTACCAAATGACTGATCTGGCCAATTTTCAAGTTATTTTTTAGAAAATTAAAGCTCAATTTCGGGAAAATATTTTCCTTTCCTCTTGCACAGGAAACCGATAAATAAAAAAATCAAAGTACTGAAAGTACTGAAAAGCGGTTAGCATGCTTTCATCTAATATGTACCGAAAAAAGTGCATAAAATGAAGATATTTAAGTATGCATATCTTTGTACAATGTCATCAGAGAAAAAATCCCAGACATTCTGTTTTTGTAATACTTTACTTAATAGTAAAACCAATAACATTCCAAACTGATGTCACAGATGGATGCAATCTAATCAAAATTAAATGTTCCGGGCCGGCCGAATCCGCTACTGCTTCTCAAACATCTAACAACATCCTATTTGGGGTCATGTAAGAGTGAATCTTCGATTAGCCAAAGAAAATGGTTCCTCCGAAATCTTGGCTTATAGTTCAGATGATTTTCTTGTTTTCACCACCGAACCAAAACACCCGAGGAGTTTGTAGTAAACAAAATATGCATTGCAAAAGCTGTGTTATGTATGACGTGTGGGGTATCTTGTATAGTTTGTGCTCTTTCGTTTGCATTATTCACGTTCAGATGCCAGACTGCAGACTATACATGAATTTTATTCCAAAATTACTTTAATTCAACGTAAGACAGTATCAATAATGATGATATGTAGCCGTGGAATTAATTTGAGAATTGTTTACCGAGGCTTGAATCTACATGGCCAAAGTGTTTGTGTTTACTTGTACATGTATTCATAATCGAAAGGTCGCTTTGATGTGACCCCGAATGGGATGTTAGATGTTTCAGAAGCGGTAGCGGATTTGGAACATTTAAATAAATTTAATTAGATTGAAATGCATGTTTCAAAATTTAAACATGAGATTTCTTCAGTTTGAAAGACAGGAAGTTCAATTTCAAAAATTTCTCCCTAATTGTCTCCATTGGTGGCGTCCAAAAATGCTCAGAACGAAAAAAAAATTATGTTGATGTTGCAAATTTAATTGGCTTTCATGGTCTATTGATTCTGAAATTAGGTAACTGTAAAGGCTACTATAGCAAATAACTCTAAAAGAAAATAAAATGATAATTCAAATTCTTTAGATTAATTGGTTTGGAGTACTGTACATAGATCTTTAGCTGGCTAGTCTGAGAAAAACGGATGGACGAGCAGAGAATTAATTAATTAATTAATTTCAGAGAGCTTCAGTTTCGTAGGCTCACTGCGGGTCAGCAGATGTGACCTGTCATTGGGGATGCTTACTTCTCCTAGGCACCGGAACTTTCAAGGATCCGTTTTTCTTTTGAGACCGATCTTCTGTGTTCATTCTGTATTTTGATACAGATACTGAGTACATCTGTTTATTAATATTATGAACTATTTCTCTCACAGGAAGAAAGACAAGTCAACAAGATAATAAAGTTTTAAGAAATGTACATTATTGACTTTTCATACAATTAAATGTTCGAATAAGTAAATGGTATATGACAATTATTTAAAAAAGAGTCTTGCAAGCACGATATGTATAAACGAACATATACTGAGTATTTGGTAAATATTTTTCATGAAATATTGTATTAAAAAAAACGTGTGAAAAGGAAAGTTGTCGTTTAATCCATCAAAACTAGTATTTTAAAAATTCAAAGGTTCACTAAAAGTCAGTGTATAAAAAAAAACAATTTTATTGTCCATTGCAAGAATTACCTAGGTATCATTGTCACTTTCTTCAATATGTCGCATAAGCAATAAATTGTTGTTTTTGGTTTTTTTTTTTACTAAAAACAAGTATGCGAATTTCTATCAATATGCCTGTAAGCATCTCTATTTTAATTTTTATTACTTCTCAAAGGCTCAAAATGATAACTAACAAATTGGATAAATTCAAATTTAAAAAGTATTTTTACAACTTATACCTTGCATAGGATTTAAGCAAACTTTCAAAAATAATCATTCATTAGATATAATTTTCAATTTGTGCTAATTGTCAAGATTTTTCATGCCTCTTTTTTCTGTGCATATTGGGTTCAAATATGATATTCCTCGCTATACATTTCTTCCTAAAGTTTAAATCTAACGCGTTGATAATGTTATCAGCTAAACTTCATGCTGACTTCGAATTTCGTCACAGGGCCCGATCGCCATCAGCTGATGTCACGGAAATTTAATCTCGACACCAAATGCTCCTATACATAAACTTGTTTTAATACAACAATTATAAATTTATTTCATTGACAAACAAAATCAGAAAAAAATTAAAAACCGAAAGATTATGTTGTTTTGATAGTCTTGATTTTATTTAACATATGTTATATGTGTTAGAAACAAATCATAGGTACTAGGTAGAGGCTTTGTTGAAGTTTCCGTTGTCGATAGGTAGCGCCTTATGGAAGTTTCCGGTGTCGATAAAAATCGGACACATGCCATAAAGCGGCTAGCGAAGCTAACCGCTTAAAAATGTATACAATTAATTGATTGTATGCTGTTTTACGTCCCATTCCAGAATTTTTTACTCATGTAGAGACGTTACCTTATACCGGTTAAGGGCTTCAAATTTTGAACTGTGTGAGAAACAGAGATAGTTATACAGATATCTTTTTAAAGTGTTGGTAACATGCATTGGATTGATTTTGAGTAAAAACCAATCCAATCCAATTTAAATTTTTAAAAATTCGGAAAGGATAAGAAAATCTCAGTTTTTGACCCCCCAAAAAAATATTCTGCAAAGTGGTACCCGCCTCTACCGTACTTATTAATTTTTCAGTGGCCTTTACTGGCTTTGAAAGGAATTTCTCTGAAAAGAGTGTGACTTATATTTAAGTAGTTGTAGAATACTTAAACATATTTATTAAGCTATTGTAAATTTTACAGATAATATTGCCAACTGGAACAAAAGTTCTGATTTTGGACGGTTGGGTGATTAGAGGGAGTCAGTTTATAAATGTGAAGATCGTGGCTTCTACAGCGGATTATAATAATACTGAAGGTTAGTTTCAATGTAAAAATGTGAAACAGCTGGCAAGATCAGATTATAATTTGTAAAATTGTCTATAAATATCATTGGAAAAGAAGGGAGTGGAATATTGCTAAAGATAATCAAGAATTTTATTAATGAAATAGACGTGAATGCATTTCGTTCAGAGAATCTTGTAGCTATGACTAGGGATTTGTCGATGTAGGGTTTTAGATTTTATTGTAGAACAACACTACTCTTCTTGAATGTATCGAGACGCTATACGTATTTGCACGTTTTTTACTTGTACTGTATATTGGAATGGGACTAAGCCTTTGGTGCTCTTCCATCAGGTTTTTATTTCTAATTAGAAAGTGGATCAATTAAAGAATCTTCCATAGCTACGAAACAAACATGTAAATTTACGAGCATCCTTTTGTACATGTACAATTCTACTAAAATCTTTGTATAATTTGAAAGCCACAATAATCGTATGACAAAGAAATTATTTTGTATTGGCATTTTTTATCATATAGTGTCAATATAGAATTGTATTCGTATTAATCGAGGAAAAGTCTTCAATAAATAATGGAATTTTTTAGCTTTTCATTTTTAATGACATGGGCAAAAATGATTAAAATTGGTTACAACCTTCAATGAAATTGTGCTTTTGGTAATTCAATTGACGAATATTTTCAGGGCTTTGTGGTACTTTTGATGGTGATAAAACAAATGAACTCACAACAAGACAAGGAACAATATATAGAGGAGCGTCACGGAAGCCAAACGAATTCTCTTTATCCTGGAGGTAGAGAAAGGGTTTTGTTATTTATTCTTATCATGGAGGTAGTCTAAGATTAGATGGGTTTAGCTGTTCTGTTTAAGATGTGGACATCGTTTTTATTATTACATTTTAGCGTTTAATAAAGCATTTTTTGTTGTACAAAGATACATGTGTTTAGATGTCTGTATTTACATTAAGTAAAGAAGAATATTACAAAGAAATGGCATAAACTGCATTCCATATTCAGGGTACCTGTCGATGAGTCGTTATACCAGGGCTACTGTGGGACAGTGGACTCCACTTTTGAAATAAAAAGCTACTGTGATTGTATGGAAGGCCAGACGGCAATGTGTCAGGAGGGAATGGACCTGATGTATTGTGTAGAAATAGAGAAGAGAAGAGGACTACTGGGTGGGAAGAGAGGTGTGATGTTAAAAGATAATGAAAGAAGAGGACAGTGTTCTATTTATTGATATTGAAGGTTCAAAAATAAAAATGATTATAAGTTCTGTAGCACTACCTGACCTTTGGAATCTCAGGGGGTTTGTTTTTATATCCTGTCACAGATTGTATATATGAGATCCATTACTGCATATATGAACATATAGTGGTACTAGTATAAGGGATACCATTGAATCTAAAATATTGTTTTAATTTGATCCTATCATATGATACATTTGATTGTTATCAGGTATTAAGAGATTGACTCCTGACCTTGTGAGAGATGCAGAGTCACCTCCAAGTCGTTGCACTACCGATCAACCTCCTGAAGAATTTGAATATGACCCAGAATATAAATCTCCGGTAAAATAACATACGTGTTTAATGTTTTATATTCTATATGATATCAACTAACTGAGAAATTTTTCATGTTGTCAATGACAATGTGCTATTTTTGTGACTAGTTTTCTATAGTTTCATATTAACTCACTTTAACTTAAACATTCCTGTGTCAAAATTAGTTTAAGCAGGTTTATATTTGATTTGTTATAAATGTGTGTGTTAATGCTTATTATGATGGAGAAAAATGTTTTTTTTTAATTATTATGATGGAGAAAAATGCATCACAAAAGAATGACCAACCTATCGAAAAACATATACCAGGTATTTGAAAATTAGGAGCGCTCATTCACGAAATGTTTGTTTAGGGATATTGGTACTCTTAGCTTTTAACACAACACACAAAAAAAAAACATTTACAGAACTAAATACAATATAAATAATATATCTATCAAAGAAGAATTCACACAAAACAAGATATGCATACAGGGACTTTATAGATGTTTGCAATATAAGCTACTTTCTAATTAAAATGAAATAAATTGTATAATTCTTTAGGATCCATTGACTAACATCACCGAACCTGATGCTAAGAAGATTTGTGAGGATTTCATGAAATCTAAAGAAGCGGGAAAGGAATGCATGGAAGTTCCCGGCTTAGATGTGACACCTATTGTACAGGGTTGCATAGCTGATCTTCAAGTATATAGTGTTATGTTTTTACAGTTGTTAGTATTGTAACTATAGATTGCACATCTTTTTATGGAGCTAAAGATGAGTATGACATTGAACGGAAGTTTCATGAGATCCAATTTTTCACCAAATCGCAAAGTAATAGAAAAATAGTTAAAATTCGTTTCTATACATTTTAATGGTACTAAATTTATCAGAATTTTTTAAAACTTTTCATTTCATTTTTTTAATGTGCTAGTTTTTCTTAAATGTATTTGTGTTTTAAAAGATAACTGGTGACACAGACTGGGCGAAAGAAAGCTTGGACAATTTACAAGAGGAATGCAAGGTCATTGTAGAGGGATCAAATACAACTAATATAACGAATATAATAGGACTCATCTGTCCGAACAGCTGCTTTGACAATGGAAACTGTAAAGAGGGTAATTTTGTCTAGAATTAAAATAGATTATTTTGGAATAGAATTGTAAAAAATGCCAACAAGGAAAAAGTATTAGTCTAGTTGTTTTTCATTTCAGTTTTATAAAAAAGTAATTTTTTTACTTGTTTTTGTAGAGCTTAGGGATTCAAAAGAAAGGACTGAGCTAAAATTTATTTCAA